GTCGAATCGTGACTAGCGCCTTGCTTAGAAAGGCTAAGGGTCGTCACTCCTGTACTGGCACGGCTCCAATTCCCACATCGCTTGCATCGGTGTGTACCTCAAATAGGATGTCGAACTTTGGCATTGCGAGCACCGGGGTCGTGGTCATGGCCTTCTTTAGCTTCTCAAATGCTTCCTCGCTAGCCTTGGTCCACTGGAATTCTCCTTTCTTAGTCATCTTGGTTAGTGGTTTGGCGATAGTCCCATAATCCTTCACAAAATTTATGTAGTAACTCGTGAGCCCTAGGAATCCTCGAAGTTGCATGAGACTCGTTGGCTTAGGCCAGTCGACCGTAGCCTCTATCTTTCGTGGATCAACCTTCACGCCATCATGAGATATAAAGTGTCCTAGGTACTCAACCATCTCCTGCCCGAACGAACATTTGGACGGCTTGATGTGAAATGAGTTAGCCTACAAGACTTCGAGCACCACTCTCAAATGCTCAATATGCTCAGCCCATGACTTCGAATATACCAAGATGTCATCAAAGAAGACTAAATCAAACTTACGTAGATACTCCTTGAAGATAGAATTCATAGCGAATTGAAAAGTAGATGGGGCATTGCACAGCCCGAATGGCATCACCAAATATTCATAATGCCCCTGATGCGTACGAAAAGCTGTCTTCGGAATGTCGGCCTTGTGGAGTCGGATCTGATGATAACCAGCTCTCAGGTCGAGCTTTGAGAAATAGCGTGATCCTGCCAACTCATTGAGCATGTCGTCGACACTAGGAATAGGAAATTGGTCCTTGATAGTCGCGGCATTCAGAGCACGATAGTCAGTACAAAACCTCCACGTGCCATCTTTCTTCTTGGCTAACAGAACTGGTGATGAAAATGGAGTCGAGCTACGCTGAATTAACCCAGACTCTAGCATCTCAGCCACTTGCCTTTCGATCTCAGTTTTCTGGAAGTGAGTGTACCTATAGGGGTGGACGTGTACAGCGTGCTGCTCGTTGACTAGAGGTATGCGGTGGTCGAACTCCCGATGGGGTGATAGTCCCTTGGGGTCACCCAGTACTCCTTTGAATTCCTTGAGAAGCTCACGCACATCTCCTTGCTGTCGTTCGATCAAGCCTTCGTGTGCCCCTGTGTTCTCGACTACTACTGCAAAAATTTGGCCGCCACCTCGCCAAACTCTTTCGATACACTTTAATCCAACCTCCTTAACAACCTTTTCTTCTCCAGCTTTGAGAGTGACTCGTTTACCTCCAGACTTGAACTCCATAATTCCTGTGCGGTAGTCGATAGTCATCCTTCCTAATCCTTCTAGCCATTGAACTCCCAAACCAACATCGGGTCCGACTAGGGGTAAGGTATAGAGATCAGCCTTCACAGTAACCCCTTGGAACTTAATCGACACTCCACGAAAGGACTCGGTGCATTGCAGCCTCTCACCGTTGGCTACTCGAACTTCAAAGGGCTCAATCTTCGTGGTGGACAACTTCATCTTCTGAGACAAGTAGACATTGATGAAGTTGTGCGATTACCCTTTTTCCACGAGTACGACCACTCGACGGTCCTTGACCCAAGCGGGGAGTCGCATTGTCCTTGGCCCTCTGACTCCAGCCATTGCATGCATCAAGATTTCAGCCTCCCCTTCGAGCACTTCAATCTCGTCCACTTGCTCCAGTTCTTCCTCGACCTCAGTCTCCTCCTCATCGGAGTTGGCAACCTATATAACAAAAGCCTGCCTACAACGATGACCTGGCAAGATTTTTTCCTTGAACTTGAAACAAAGTCCTTTCTCGCGTCGGCGTTTGATCTCCT